TCCTTCCTCACTGTCCCTCTTCTCTTCTGTTTTTCTTTTCCTTCCTCTTTCTTTCTCCCTTTCCTATCCCTCACTCATGTCTGTCCCATCTGTAACAACTGAAAATAAAATAAATAATAACAGCAAAGGTTGATCAAATGGACCAATACGGCAAGGCCGTGATGATCCACTTGGCAAAATAAATCCATTGGGTATCCTTGTTGGTCTTCAGACAACAATTCTGACACTAAAGAACCAAATGGGACAGGCAAAAAAAAAAAAGGTGAGTTGTTGTGATTTAGCACTGTTTATAAATAAAAACAAACGAATGAATGAACAGATTTAGCTCTAAAAATCATACCACATTTCATTAGTTTGAGTCGATTACTATTATTATCTTTATTAGTATATTTAGTACTCTATACAATCTTCTTTCCTCCCGTGTTAGTAGTCAGTTTTGAATGCAGGATACAAATCCCTTGAAATCTCATTGTCATTTGGGAATTTAAAAATTGAAGCTCCATCGGCAGCTGCACTGAAAGCCGTCTGTGCACAGCTGGATTTCATCCAAGGTGGCCAGAAATGATTTCTTTAGTGCATTCAGGAATTAGCAGTACAAATGGTGACTGGTGGCCGTTTCACAAACCAGACCAGTGTCACAAAACAGCTGCTACAACCAGTCTCTGTGTAACAATCACAGGGTTTATGGAGTGTGACATTATTTCAATGAACTATTACAAGCATTATATTTTTAAAATGGTAACAAGAAACAAACATGAAAGAGGGTTTTGTTCAATCGCAGCTCCACAATTCTGCTCCAACACAGCAAACTTATGTTCAGCATTTTTCTGTAAGGGCAAATTGTGTTTCCTTCTGGACATTTATGTAGTTTCCCTTCATTCATTGCTGCCTGAGGCAACCACACTTATAAAACACAGGTAAAAATGGCAGTTGTGTATATTCTGTACCACATAGAAAACATATTCACAAAAAGACTTTCTCTGTACTTTCCCTCCTGTCATTATGAGTTTAGATTCAGGAGTTATTTAAATGTGTCCCGTAGTCCAGAGTCAGAGGGACCAGATGCATTCGTCACCATTCTTTCCCTCTGAGACAGGGTTTGTTTATGTAAACGTCATCACAGTTTTAAACACAGCTCTGCACCCCTGCTGAGGGGTCAGGAGCTCCCTGTTTCTCATGAGACCCCGAGATCCAGTGGTAGCAGTCAGCGGCATTCTTATCGTGTGCCGTGACTCTATAGCGGTTGCAGTAGACGAAACCGAGCGCCACCATTACCGCAATGAAGATGCAGATGGCTATGAAGAGTCCCACCATGAGCCAAGTGCTCCTCTTTGTCTGGACACCTTCCTCGTCCTCAGTTGGGGGCGGCTGGGAAGAAGCCAGCCCGGTGGGAAAGGCCAGGTTTTGACTGGGGGTAAATTCCACAAAGGTCATTTCCTCTTTGCTTAACTCCGCCTCTGTGAACTGAAAGTTTTCCCTGAGGAGATTCCTCTGTGTTTCTCCTTCTGGCTCTTTGTGGTAACTGGACTCTTCAGGCATGTCTGTGACAGAACGCTGTGGAATCTCGCTTGAAGTAACAAGATCCGCCCCCCAGCTCCAAGCTCCTTCTGAGACTGTTGAGGTGGGGTATGAGGGAAGAGCTGTAGTAGCTTCACTCTCATCTTCCTTATATGGGTCTGGGGTAGCGCTGGAGCTAAGGAGATGAGGAGTATTGTAGGTAGTTGCTGACAAAACCTTCAGCTCAGACTGAGATCCCTGATCACCGTTTGACCAGTCAGCTCTGTCTACAGCTTCTTCATCTTTATCAGTTCCCTGTGTCAGGGGAACCAGCACCAGTGGGGGACTGGTGGCCCAAATTACATCCGAATTCAAAACTCTGGTGGACTCTGTCAGCCAGTCCAGAGATTCCTCCTCCTGTGTAGGCCAGTCATAGTCCCACAGAGGTCCAGCCTGGCCCGTGACCCAAAGAGAAGGAGGAGTGACGGCATATTGGTCGTCTCCTTCCTCTCTCTTCTCACATGAATAGTTATCAGACATGAGTTCAAAGCCTTCGCTACAATAGCACTCAAAACCACCTTCATAATTCACACACATCTGCTCGCATGTTCCAGGAATCTCGCACTCGTTGATATCCTGGCATTGCCTGGGATGCTCAGGAACTAAGGAATAGCCCAGATTGCAGTGGCAGATATGAGAGCCTGGGGTGTTCTCACAAGCGTGTTCACATGTGTCATTTATACACTCGTCAATATCCTCACACTCACCCTCATCGTTTATATCATAGCCCTCGTGACACTGACATTCAAATGTCCCCACGGTGTTCACGCAGATCTGCTCGCAAGGACCTCCGAGGCACTCATCTACATCGAGGCAAGTGCGTTCATCTGGTGCAAGCGCATATCCATCAGCACATTCACAGTAGACATGACCACCAGCTGGCATGCAGAAATGCTCACATCCACCATTATCCTGGTCACATAGGTCGCGTGATATAGAGAAATGAGAACAAAGAGGAGTTTCTTTGGTCCATCCCACTGAGCCATCTTCTCTCGTCATACATGAAACCGTCTTTTCTTCTTTGGCGCCTGAAGGACAGCGTACGGTAGCAACAGATCCAACGGGTACATGAGTCAGCAGTACGCTTAGAAGGTTAAACGGTGTGGTGTAGGTAACATTGCCTTCTCCCTCGCTACACAGGGGAGGGCACATGCCTGCGTAGGCATAGTGGCACAGATACCCATCTGCAGAGACTGCACAAGCACTGTCTATCCATTTAAAATTATCATCCTGGTCTTCAGTGCTGTAGCCCATAAACACACAGCGAGGCGCCGAACACGAGTCAGGGGAGTCCGGGTTCTGCCAGTCAGTATACTCTGTGTCCTGGTCACCGGTAGTCCAAGAGAAACCTCGCAGCGGGTGCGTGGTAGTGCACTGGCGAGGCTGGCGCTGAAGGCCAATCCATACGTGGACAGTAGTGCGCGAGTGGCGCAGATCCACAGTGGAAAAGAGAGTGGCAATAGCGGTTGCGTCCACCTTCCGCTTGATGGTGGCCAGGTTGCCACCTTTTTCTTTGCAGGCCCTCCATGACTCCAAAAAGGTTTTGCGTTGAAAATAGACAACAAAGCAGCCGTCTGTGTTACATAGTGCATCTCTTTGTCTCAGGTTCTGGGCCAAGACTGAAGAACATCCAAAAAGCAAAGCCAGCAGGGAGAAGAGAAAAGCACTGCTCACCAGGGAGCCCATTCTTTATTTTAAACCGGCTTTATAGATCCTCTCTCTGCTTGCCTCTCACCTGGATTTTCTTTACACTTTTATCATCTGCCTTTAAAAGATTTTTCTTAATGTGATGTTTTAGTCTTGGTCTGAAACTTCCTCCCTGAATTTTAACTTCTTTTCCTCTGTGGTCTTCACTCTATGCTGCTGAAACAGATCAGCACTGGAGTGTTTGCAGACTCAAGACTTCAGGAAGCAGAGAGGGAGGAGAGAAAAGGAAATAGGAGTAAGAAGGAGGGAGTTATAGCAACAAGCAGGACGAGGAGAAGGGCAAAGAGGGAGGGAGTTAAAGGGAGATTAATATGCTTTTGAAAGGGGAGGGGTGAGAGGGGACCCTGTGAATGTGTATGTCAGAGTTGGGGGAGGAATAGCAAACTGATTTCTTTTTCAGAGTATGTCATATGGTTTTCATAAGTTCCATCTGTGGACATAGTTGGTACTCTGCCGTTTGGACAAGCAGACAGATAAGTCTGCGCTCATACATCCAAACACGTTCATATACAGAGATAAAACGGTGACACTTATCTCACATGAAGATTAAATGATAGTTTGAATAAATATTCTTTCTAGAAAAACATCAAACATATGCCACTTATGACTTCCATTGTGTCTCTTGCCTTTCAACATGTTTAGTGTTTATGAGCGAAGGGAGCGTTTTACCTAATTTTACTGAGGGATTACTCATAAGAAATTAATTGTTTTCATTCTATGGAGCTGTGAGGTCCTGACTTTACAATGTAAATGTGCTCAGATGCCTGTTGTGTGAACTGGCTCTAAGTGAATCCAACCTGTGAAATCAAATTTGATTCCATAGAGTTCAGCTCCACAATATCAATGCTTTTATTCATTTTAATGTACATGTGAGTTTGTTGATAATTAAACAATTCTTAGTTATCCATCCATTCACTTCTGCTTATCCTTTTCAGGGTCGCGGGGGGCGGTGGAGCTTATCCCAGCTGTCATAGGGCGAGAGGCGGGGTACACCCTGGACAGGTCGCCAGTCTGTCGCAGGGTGTAACACAGCAACACACAGGGACAGGGAAACATTCGCACTCACATTCACACCTATGGGCTATTAACCTATCCCCACAAGCTGCACGTCTTTGGACGGTGGGAGGAAGTTGGAGTACCCGGAGTGAACCCACGCAAACACAGGGAGAACATGCAAACTCCACACAGAAAGCCCCCGGCCTGATGGTGGAATTGAACTCAGGATCTTCTTGCTGTGCGGCAACAGTGCTAACCACCGTGCTGCCCTAATTCTCAGTTATTTATTCTTAATTATAATGTGGCAATTCTGACATCATGCAGCTCAATTCTGTTTTATTTACACAGCACCAAATGACAACAACATTCACCTCAAGGTGCTTTATACTGTAAGGTAGATCCTACAATAATACATACAGAGAAAAACCCAACAATCATATGACCCCCTATGAGCAAGCACTTTGGCGACAGTGGGAAGGAAAAACTCCCTTTTAACAGGAAGAAACCTCCGGCAGAACCAGGCTCAGGGAGGGGCGGGGCCATCTGCTGTGATTGGTTGGGGTGAGAGAAGGAAGACAGGATAAAAGACATGCTGTGGAAGAGAGACAGAGGTTAATAACAGATATGATTCAATGCAGAAAGGTCTGTCATTGCATCACACAACCCTTGGACAGAAAGAGGATACTTAGTTCAGCACAAATTGTCTTTACTTACATGAAAACAACAGCGCTCTCCTCCATGCTAATAATGCCAGGCAGTAAAATGGAGACCTGTGCTTCTAAATAGGACCTTTTAGATGGAGAAGGCTCTGGTTGTGTGTGTCTGGGAGAGAGGGTTAGGAAGTAGAGAATGGCTGGGGCTTCACTACTGGAGCCCTGAGAGTCTGACATAAATCAAGTCGCCTGCTTCAGAGTCTGTAATGTGTTGGATGCACCTCTAAAGACAGAGATGTGAGGAGGGAATATTAATGCACCTTTTTTTCTGTACTACACAAAAGAGCAAATAAGGAGATAATACATTTGGATATTGGAAACGGCTTACTTAATGTAAACAGATCTGATGTGATTTAAATTAGGTTTTCTATCTATGTTCTATGTTATTATCCAAAATTCAGAGACCTAGTGTTCAAGACACAGACAACTTTTTCTCCACTGTGTGAGTCAAGCTCCAAAACCACTAATCAACAATTGACCATAATTAAAAATCACTATGTATTACCATTAGAAGGTATATACATATATTTTGGGTAAATTACAAGTAAAGAATACATCTTTTAGCTATCAACTTGAGGTTGGTACCTCGTCTAAAGATATTTGGCATAAATGCTACTGCGGGACAAGAATGGAAAAAAATATAATAAAAATGAATAAATAAAACCAAAACATAAAGAGTCGTCTGCAACGACAAAGGAACTGTAGACAGAACAAGCTGGTTGACCTGTATCCTGCATCAGAGCTTCCTTCCTTTCTGCACTCATCCTGCTGCATTAACTAGTTACCTACATGAAGACTGCCATAAGTTTGACTTATCCGATCGCTTTGTTTCACTTAATGCGCCTTATAATCCGGAAAATATGGTAAATCTACCTTCCTTTAGCATGTCCAGAAGTCCAACTTTTTGTGCAATGGTTAGCATCTTCCTCTGCCTCCTGGATGCTACCGCAGGTGCCTTTGTGGTGCAAAACATTTCGTTGTGTTTGTTGGGGAGAAAACTTACAAACATACAGTACAGCACTTCAGTCACACTGCTAGGATAGAAGATTTATGTAAATTTCTGTACTGTACAGGAGACACAACACAAGATTGATTGACAACGGTCTGGACGCAGAACACAATGTGCTGTTCAAAAAAAGAAAAAACAGGCAAAATTACACAAAAACATTCACAAAACAGCAAGAAAAGGTGAAGCGTGTTATAGCGAGGGACCACTGTCCAGTGCTCTCAGTGTATCAAAATGTGTTCAAGTAAGACAACAGAGATGTGGACTAACAGGACTGTTTGTAGCTGTGCACTTTAGTCTATACACACTAGGAAACTTTCTCTAATGGTGCTTCTTCACTCTGCAGATTCTTTCCTTCCTGCTTCAACACAAGATTTTCAGGGTTGACTTGTCAGTTGGAGTTATGTGACTAAAGAATTGAAAAGTGTGGTGCAATGTAAAGACTTCCCTAACTGATCCTATTTTTAAAATTTTAAAAGCCTTCAGCTAATCCAAAATGCT